CGATCAAAATATTAAACAACGAATAACTAGTTTACTTTATCGTTCAACCGAACAAAAACCAATATGCTATAAAGCTATACAAAGTGACCTGATAGAATCGGTATTATAGTTTCTGATCACTATGATATTTGTAAACCTATATATATATATATAGAGAGAGAGAGAGAACTATAAATAAAAATGGCATGAATTCTAAATAGGGAAAAAATAAGGATCCCATGGCAAACTAGTTTACAATTTTGGGATACTGGAGGAAATATGATAAATTTTTAACAAAACTGTGAAAAAATACTTCCATCACTTTCTTGATATTGTAAGCATTCCAATAAAAATGGTTTCGTATTTCAGTTTTCTACGTTTTCAAGTAATCAAATACTTTGAAAATACAACCAAATAAATTCGATTAAAATTGCAATGCAGTAAAGAAGTCAATAAGATGAAGACAGATGGTTCACTTTTATTTTTTCTGACATGGAATTTGTTGAACTACAAAGATATAAAATCATTCATTGGAGATTCTCATCAGTCGAAGAGCTACTTACAGAACAAAGCGTTGGGTGATTTTGTTAGTTCATAAATAAATTCAGAATACCAAAAGCACTTTACAACATTATTACTACTAGCTAACATCAATGGAACCCAGTTATCGGTATTTTCTATTCAGCCCAACTAACTGGTTTAAAGATAAAATATTATTTATATATAGTTGAAATAATGAGTCAATTGAAGCTAGACCACCATAGAAAACCTGAAAGCACTGGACGGCCGTTTCATACCACTGTAGGACTCCTCAGCAGTGTGCATCCACGATCCCGCCTCGCGAGATTCGAATCCAGGACCTACCAGTCTCAAGTGCGAGCACCTAACCACTAGACCACTGAACTGGCATCCAACGGTGTTAATGTCTAACTTCAACCAATCCACGAAGTTGAGCAACCGTTCACTAATGTCTTCAGTGAGTTGATATCTCACAACAGAACTGGTTGAACTCCACTGGTTACTGTTTCTCACTAGAACTCCAGAAAATACCTCATGGAGCCAGTCACTAGTGAGCATATGATATTAGTTAGATTCCATTAAGTAGTTTCTATTTCCATCCCTATTTGACTGCCCCTAAATCACTAATTTCACTGGAACATAGAAAAGTTAATCCAGAGTAAAATGTTTTATCCTTGGTACTGATCAATTAAAAATGTTGGACCGAAGTTGGGTTGCAGCTGCGTTTCTTACCATCCAATTTTGCTCTTTCTTCAATATCTGATTTTTACAAGTGCTATCTATAAATAAAAAATTCGCTGAAAATAACTCAGGTGCATAGGAATCTGAAAATAATGTGCTCCCTACTAAAAGGAAAAAGCTGTCTTAGAGTCAGTGGCATTTCCTAGTATTACACAGGTATCAAAGAGTTCACATTTAAATGAAGCTATTTTTATTAAATGCATACAACCAGTATAAACTTCTATGTTTATTCTAAAACAAAGAAAAGAGATCTTGATTACGTCCAGTAAATTTATGAATGTATGTCATTTCATCTTTACTTATAAGGTTATAAATTAAGATATGTGAAAGTGGGATTAAGCTAAATAACCTATTGATTCCTGGATTGACAAACGAATCAAGTATTACTTAATAAACGTCCTAATTTTTACTTTTAGGTTATATCCCGAAGAGAATTATGAATGGTAACTTTGAGGACTATTAATGGACAAACACTATGTGTATATATTTATTGTATAGTTGTTAACTAACTAAGCTATTCATATTCGTATCCCTTTTATTATAAGCTTCATTTTGACCCATAGACTATTACTATACGATTTGCCGTTCTTGAGTTATCCTCAGTCTATTAATTACTGTTCCCCACATTCACAGACACATTTGGCCAAATCTTGTACGAATGTTACTCTCTATTTTATGGTATACAGACCTAGTATGTTTGAAATATAATGATTCATACTGCAGAGGCTGTTATTGGTGTTCTTAACTTAAATGACTGGGCTAGGCAGAAAGCAGGACCGACAAGTGCTCTAGACTGCTCGTATGGGTTTCGTGCCACTCAACCGATCGATAATTTGCTGTATTCTAATTGACAGCGTCGTCACGTTATATATTAACAGGGCACGCAGGCACAAAATATAACAGTTTATAACAACAGTTCACCCAAACCTTTGATGAAGTTTAACTAAATTCTTTAAAAGACTGTATTCCGATCTGACGTTGGCTGGTTGTTGCCAGTAGTCAGTAACATTCTGGACGTTTATGTTGATGTGAAATCAGAATCTTAAAACTACTAAAAAACTCATTCAGATCACCATTAACAAAATGGTAAACTTAATTACAGAAGAACATCGATCATAGGTTTATAACTGACACAAAGCTGTCTATCTCATATTATTGACTGAATTATGTTTGTTATTGTCTTTAATTTGACCTCTAAATGCATTGTTTTTAATTAAGCACAGTAGTTGTCTCTATAGTCATTGGATAAACATTATAATTGGCCAAATTCCAAATTTTCTGCATAACATTTATTCAACATCCAAAACTGAACATCAAGAGACACTGGTCGATAACTAATGAACATCAGTCTTGTTTATATTAAAGAAGTAATAACGAACGGTTTAAAAGGATTGTCGTATCAACCCCTTAGTTGAACCGATCGAATAAACATATAAATTCACTATTTGAAATATTATATAATATACAAAAATCTGATAAAAGCCGAAGTAGATTAAAGTCATGGTGTGATAAATTCCCAAGTAAATTCAATATGCTCTCATAATAATCAGTCAAACGCTCTTTATCTTTAAACTAAAAACATTTATAAATTTTATTTATTCATATCACTGTGACGTCGAAGGAAATTAAGATGACGAAAACTATTTCCATAGTTGAAATCATGAGTCAATTGAAGCTAGACCACCATAGAAAACCTGAAAGCACTGGACGGCCATTTCGTCCTATTATGGGATTCCTCAGCAGTGCGCATCCACGATCACGCACCTGCGAGATTCGAATCCAGGACCTACCAGTCTCGAGCCGGAGCCCTTAACCGATAGACCACTGAGCCGGCATCCAACGGTGTTAATGTCTAACTTCAACCAATCCAAATCTATTTCAACTTAGTGCGATATAAATAAATGAATAGATAATTATTTTATTTCGATTAAAAAAAAATTATAGAACTGCTTTATGAATTATTATTTAATTAATTAATACAGAAAATTTTAATTTCGTTCAATGAACTAACCAATTGGTCAAATTCACAGTTAATCTTATATTCATTACCGAAATCATTATGATTTTCTATTTGATTTTACTTCGTATCATATAATCTAATTTAATTTTATGAAGGGCCCACAAATGCCCTGGTACAGCCGACAGTGGGGAGAGTCCTCTCTCCCTCTCCAAATGCTCTCACATGGGCACGCGAATATAGCCTCTTCCAGGGAAGTCCTACTCACTGCCTTCTCGTGGCGGGAGTGTTGTTTACGAAAGTGAGAGGATGAAGATCGAATGTCCGGCACTTTAACCGGGTTGATGGACACGAAAAGTCCACCTAGGGGAGTTGGAAAACCCTGATTCCAAACCAATGGTGCACATGGCCTCCAGTATCCTGAGGGAACAAATGGCGTATGAATCAAACGTTGATCACCGGCTACCATGGGACTGCATCTCCCCACGATGCTCCACTGCCTTGTGGATCAGACCTTTAGCTCAAAGGCTCGGGGTGTGGGCCCCTAAGAAAACCAAATGCTTCAGTTCAGGCACCCGAAACAGCACTCATGTAGAACAGAGTACTTTATCAAGACTGACTATATATTATATATATTCAGAATAGGACTCTCAAATTAATTAGAAACAGAGGAACTAAATATAAGCGTATGACCAATAAATAAGCGTAACGAATCATAAGCACAGAAAATAATCGAATAACCATGTGGCTTAATTATATAAAGCGTAATTGATTATTAGTCACAGTATCACGAGATAATAACAAATAGTCGACGACCGAACAGAATTGTGCAAATTTTATAGAGATTACACACCAATCACTAATGAAATAAATAAAGTGCATAAAATTGCTGATTTTAATCTATTTGTTGAGCTGATGGATAGATTATAACTGATATACACAATTCTGGCCAATAATACATACATACATAGGCAGCGAAAATGATTCAATAACCTCATATCCAAGAGCCAAAATGATAATTTAATTTGAAATGAAACTCCAATCACAGCATGAACTGAATAATAGACGTTGAAGTTACCGTTTGCATATACCACTGAATAGGCCATCGAACATGTTACAAGTTTGCTTACAACTTTATTCATTAACCGCGAAGAATATCCAATATTGCACAGGTAAGAGACTACCAGATCAACTACAAATAAGATCGCAGGGAAACCACACTAATCCACGACTTAGATCTGAAAAAAATTATCTGGTTGGTTCATCCCACTTCGTAATCCTTAATTAATGATCAATGGTTATTTTAAATTTTTCTCTATGTTCTCCCAGTCCTGTTGTAACTGACGAATTGCTGGTCCCAGTATTTTACTGATGTACCTATAGTTACTGTACATTATATATAGATTACACGGTAGTTGTTTACACCCAACCATATATTTCTTATCTGATTAGCTAAGCGATTAACATGTATCACTGAATCCTTCAGTCACATAATTTTCCATTATCTAATTTATACCATAACTTGAATAGTTGCTTCGGTACTGTATAATATTTCAACTTAGAAATAAAAGAATTTACCAGTATGATAGTTGACTTATTTTCTAATGACCAGCTGCAAGACAATTCAGGATTTGAATGATACAAATACATGTTTTCTTCCATATTATGCTAATGTGACATCATTAAGAAATAAATTTTAACTCTTATTTCAGGGTAAAATGTTAATGGTAACCCAATTCCCTTTTTAAGGTAGATATTAATTATGAGACGATTTTTAATGGCTTAATTCAAAGAATCAAGTACATCCAGTACATTTTTTTCAAATATATTTCACTACCAATGAATTTAGGAATGTTGACTACCATTAATACCTGGGAAATGCCAATAAATTTGACAAATGAAGTCTACTAATCTACTTTAAGCACATAAACGTCAAAGTTGGATATTTTAAAACTTTGACTAGTTGGATGGGAACACTGACAGAACAAAAGGTTAACAGTAAAGGCCAAAAGAGGTGGTCTTACGTTTACAATTTTGTGCGCATTTACAACAGAATCACAGACAATGCAAAAATTATTTACAATGAACTTTAGTGATAAACACACAAAAAGGACTAGTCCATGATATTAAGTACAATTACCTTTCTACAGAATCTGGCCTAAATTTTTTTAGAATCCACGAATTCTGATTGACTCGAAAACCAAAATAACGAAACATGAAGCTAGGCAATAAAAGAACCGAATGCTCCTATTACAGTAAAATGAAATTCAAACACTTCAAAAAATTTCAAACCAATGACAGGCACAAATGCATAGCTGTTTAGGCACAAAACATTTGAAGTTTTAAAATAACATGTCAAGTGAGTTTGTTTACTTCAGGAATGTATAACATCATCGAAGCTATTGATACATAGTTCGCAAACAAAGAGGGTAAGAGTTGGAAGTGAAAATATGTGGCTAGTTAGGTGTTGACAATCAACATCATCAGGAACGAAAATGTATTAAAAGAAACCGATAAGACAAAAAGAGCGAATAAAAAACGTAAATACAATGCAACAATAAGCAAATCGCCGGGAACGAACACTATGTACATACTAATACAACTGACTCAAGAATTCAAACTATAAACACATACTGACTACGTTACTTTAGCATAAACATTTACCAGTGATCAAGAGATTAGAATATTAAGGTGAAAAGAGAAAAGAAGAATCAGAAACAAAAAGTATCATTCAGACAAAAAAAGACAATCTATAAAACTGTACATGCTTGGCTTTAATACAAACATGGAAACATCACAAGTAGCCTTCGAAAATCACAGTTCAGGCCTACATACTTGAGAAAGCATGGCAGGGTGTTCACGTAAAATTGTACAGTTACTGTTGTCAAAACAGCCTGAACTCAAACAGTAACACCAACTGATAGTTCCGGGGGTGAAAGAGCCTGGTAAAAAGAGGTTAACATAAAAAGAGAAGTAGAACAGAGTCGAAGGTGTAGGTTATCGTTAGTTGTTATGGTAGATAAATACTTGTTTGCAGATCTCAAAGAACAAAACGATTATCTCAAGATAACTGAATACCATTTTAAAAAACGAGAAACGAAAATATAGTCGGTAGAAACGTGAAAAATCTTGTAAAGTAAGCAAATCAACTTGATAAAACGTTTTCCGTATGTTTTTATAGCAGTGAGATCAAGATTTTGGCGGCCAAAATCGCCGTGGAAATAACTATTGCACTGTCGATTCATGGAAAATAACAGAGAAACGCTCTTCGTTTGATAGAGATGAAGATTTACTATGAGTTTTCATAATTTGTTTACCGGGAAACCTGGGGGTTAAAAGGTGATTGGTACTCTGAATCATTCCCAAAAGATGATACAGGTAATCCCTGTTGAACACAAATATTTTCCCACAAGCCAGGTGGAACAAATGGTCGAATAGCAAAGAAGGCATGTTGATAACTTCGAATAAGCGTTAACTCGGAGTTTAATCGAGTTATTTCTGAACGTAAATTGACATTCTCAGCCAGAACAGTTGCCAATTCATCTCGAAAACTATTAACTAACGTCGAGCGAATGGCCTCCTATAAATAGAAAAACAAAACTATTGCTTAACATACCAATATAATTTTTATGAACACAACACAAACTTTTCTTTCACAAGGCAAATGTCTCAAAAATAGTCAAATTAATCAACAACAAATTTACTTGATCATATTAAGTGAAGCCAACTGAAATTTAATCCATCATAAACATCACAAACATGCATCAACCTAAGTTGCTGATATATATGAGTATAGTTAGACGAAATAAATAAAAGTAATGTTATTCATGAATGGAGAGAAATTAGGAATGGAGAGTAAGGTTTGAGCAAAAATAAAACCATAAGATAAAAAGTATGGGATATCAACGGAACCCAAGATGTAGATTAAGAATGCACGTATCTGCCTATGGCTGATGTCGTACTAATAACTTTTTCTTTCGCCCTGAAGACCACTTAAATGTTTGTTTATTATCTTATCGTCACAGCTATTTGATGCAAACTTGGATTTGGACTAACTGAATCTTGCGCTTATATTTCCTATCTTTTACAAAACAAAGTAACCCAAGTGACATGAATAAAGTATAAATATTTTTTGCTCCATCCTTATCTACTCAAGTATATTGGGTGAAAGTTAGTTGTTTATTGTCCATGTATGTCAGTTGTGCTTTACAATCCCATTTCTGTGGTATTTCACTTCATCACTAATGATATAAAGCCTCATCAGATTTCAATTGAATACTGCGACCCTATTTAACGCTGTAATAGATTACCCTTTTATTCGAAGAGGAAAGTAATAAACACTGCATCTGAAGTTGTTTTGATGGATATTGTATCGTGAATGGTATGAAAGGAAATCCATGGTGTTTTTACAATGTATTTTGCAACGTGGACTATTGAAGTGTTGCTTTTTATCGCAAAGAAAATTTTAGTGTTTAAATACTACAACAATAGGTATGTCGGCTACTAGATATCTCCCAAAATATTCCTACACTAGTTAGGATCATCCGTTGAGGTAGAAGGTGGTTCGACCACCTTCATTGATGCAGATTCATAATCTCACCAGATGCTTTGCCATATTTACCTATAGTCTACATTTAACCTTAACAATGCTCACAAATGACGGTCCACCCATACACAAATAACGCTCTAAAGATACGTGACCCACGAATGTCCTCCACTTTTAAAGTCATCTTTCACTGTCATGAAGTAAAATATAGCGAATCACTGAGCAGTATATGACCCCTTTCGTTAGCAGACAATGATTCGCTAAAAGCCAACCGAGCTTTCTGAATATGTCCCAACATTTCATCACACAACAATCTACTAGGGCTGATGAGGTTTCCAACTTACCATACTTGCACGAATTCGAGCCTCGAGACGATCTGACAATAGCGAAGATTCTCTGGAATTTTGGTAGTATTCAACTTCCTCGGCAAAATCGCTAGGGAACTTTATACCTTTTGGTGATCCAGAACTGGTCATATTATTAACAGTTAAAGGAGCCCAAGTCCTAATGTAAAAATATATGTAACAATAGCAATCGTTAAGGTAACAGTAATAGTCTAGATAAATTTATACATACAAGAAATATAATCAAATGCTAAAAGCTAATACACAATCGATACCAAAACACTAACAATAACAAACAAGAAAACTATGAACTATAATCAATTATCTGATGAACATTGTTATTAAAGCAACTGGAAGGAAGTAGTACAGATTAATTACACAACAATACATTCCACTATATTGAATTGGAATAACACAGGATAAAAAAAATTGTTCATCGATGCACACTTAAACATACTTTATTAGGATACATGAAAGGGGATTATTCATCATCTCAAGATTCCATGCTATTCTCACCCAGTCAGTCAACTACAGAAAATAATCTGGCACATATGTGCATTGTTTAAAGTTGCCACAGTAAATTAGCACAATGAAATGAACTTATCAAACCATATCCCGGAGTGATGGGAGTAGCAACAGTATCAGTTGCAGTGAGAAAGATTAGGCATAGAGAATATGATTCGACGAAATATGGGTTCGTGGAATAAAATTGAGATTATCTAGAAAATAAGGATGTGAAGGAAGAGTGAGTGTAACTGCCTCATATTGGACAATTCTGAACAATGTCGCCTAAAGCCTTCAATTACTAATCGCAGTTATCCCTCAGACCTCAGCCAGGTTGCCTGTACATATCTATATGGCTTAGTCCAACAGCGGATGACTTAACGGATCAACGTTATGTTATGGTTTTGCTACTCTTAGCTTTCCTCTCGTATATTCTTATACGTAAAACCATTGTCACATGTGACATCAGTTTCATAAAACCAATTGGGCTATCCGAATCCGAGACAGTATTTCATTGAGCACCAACCCTTCAGAGCTGATAATACTTGCAACAACATGGTCAATGAATTCAACTAATCCACTTCTTATCACTATTTCAGTTGATGACCAGTCCTGAAGCAGTACCTTGTATTTAGAGGGAGAGGAACACAATCCAGACAAGCTAAAGTAATTGCTAGAGACGATCAGAGGACTGCATTTTTCTCAGAATCTTCACCGAACACTACTATGTCATCAACGTATTCTAAGCCAATAAGTAGGTTTCAGTCAGTCAGTCAACCGCAACGTAGAACCAGGTAAGTAGGTACATCGCTTTAAGTTGCCATATCCCTTAAGCACAAAGAGATTAAATTGTTAGAACAAATCCCAAAACAGTTAAGGTAGTAACAATATGAGTGGTGATTGAAGAAATTAGGTATCGAAGATACTATTCAAGAAAATATAAATAAGCGGGGTAAAAACGCGAAAACAGTTATGAGGAATGTAGAATCCGATAATTCGGGGGAAGAAAAGGACAGGTGCTCCTGCGCCATATCATTCAAAGTCTCTAACTGTTGGTTACGATAATCACGCGGACTCCAACCAGGTAGCCTATACCTATTAACATGGCTAATCCCAACTGTCAGTGACTTTATGGACTGACGCTATGTCTTGGTTCGGCTGCCTCCGATTTTTCTTCCAGACATCGCCCAAAGAGATAAGTGGTGGTCGGGTATACGCAATACATGTCCCAACCACCTCAATTGAAGATTTACTACATCATCAATCGATTTGCTATCCTTACATGGTACTCTATACCTAACCCAGGGATTGCTTACACTGTAGTCCCAAAATACACAAGCAATGCTTCGAAGATACCTGTGATGGAATACCAGTAACCTACGAACAACCTCCATTCTTAATGGCCTTTTTCACACCCACAAAGTAGAACGGATAAAACTTATATGTAGTAAACTCGTTTTTTGGTTGACAGACATATGTCTAGCCTATACCACAAGTTAGCAAAAGCCAATCGAGTCTTCTGAATTCATGCCGAAACTTCATCAGGTACCAGACCATCAGTACGGATGAGACTCCCAAGTGAAGGGGCCGGTGCGTTCAACTACTTCATTCCGCACCATCAATTCAGACGCTGGCTCAGGCTTATCCTGAATTAATATTTAGCATGTGGATGGAGAAAACCCCACCACTGCTGTTTAAGGTGGTCAGAAGACTGAATTTCGTCGGCGTTTTTACTAAACAGAACTATATCATCTGTATATTCTAAGTCAACAAGTGAATCTCTTGGTAGATCAATCCCTAAAACGTCAGACGATGAAGGTGTTATCTCTAAAAGCATATCTATGACAAAGTTAAATAAAAATGGAGGCAGACAACCTTGGCGAAAACCACTCGAAGTAACCAGTTTCGATGACAATTCGCCATAAGCTCTAACTCGGCCAATAGTGTTCAACTAGAGAACCTGTGCACTACCGATGACTTCACTGATACGCCTTTTGATGGCATACTGCCACAGAACTTGAGCCAACGAGCGGATTATCGTCCCTCTTACTGACTCCCAATTTTAGTTAAGTCTGAAAAATTGTCTATCGTCTCTTACAGAGATTACATTTTCCATTTCTTCTGAGTTCGCTACTCACTACAACCAAAGATCACCGCGTATACCTTTCGTCAGTCTATGTTCAGGCTGCCTTTGCTCCTCATCCTATTCCAGGCCTTATGGAGTAGATTTCAGAGCATCCCTCGATTCAGTAGTCGCAACTGAAATCCTTTGATTTTTCCTGTTTTGGTTCAAGTAGCTGGTAAGCATCAATGCTATTTCACAACTGTTTGGATAACGTACCAACATACACAGTGCTGAATGCCACTTTCATGACTGACTAATTTTTTCTGGTTATTCCTGACTTCCTCATCGTTAAGCTGAACCCCACAGAGTCTTATTGATGTGACTTCTCTACCTCCAGTAAGACAGACAGAGGCGTGCTTTCACTCGAACATGATCAGTCTAAATGTGTGCTCCATAATGAGCGCCAGTCTGTTGAGCCTCTGTAACGACAGCTGATGGTAATATAATTCATTTTCACATATTTTCGGGTAGATTTGTGAAGTCACAATGTTAGATAGTACTTTTTCTTGTGCTTAAAGTTCATCCTTGTTAAGAATGACCAGCTGTCCACGTACAATTGCACCAGACGGTTTCAGTGTCTGTTCACTAAGCTGAGATACTGTAAGACGCACCTAGATGTCTTTGATTTAAACTGCCTACAAGAGTCTGTTACAGTTATGACGTTAGAGAGTTTGGCGTTTTGTAGGAGGGCGGAAAGCTTTACAAAGAACCTCCTCTATTTCACCCGAACTACAGTCAGTGGGAGGATAGGTAGAGACGAAGAGACAATAGCATTTGTTCCTATCTTCCCGCGTTTTTACCCTACCCCCCGTCAAGTCAGATGACGCACAGACGACTGTACAAGAGAGCCTATGCTGTTGCATCCAAGCTTAGTGTCACACCAACACCAGAAAGGCCACGAGAGGTAGTAGTCAAAATCCTGGATATATGAATTGTATATCGTGGTAGTTTGCCATATTGACTAAGTGGGTTCAAATGAACGATCACGCTTGGATCTTATATGCTTGTTTTCTAGGCACAGCATACATAGAAACCTAAGGATTCTAGAGTCTTGGTCAAACTCCAATGTTTGAAAATTGAAAGTTTCAACATGTAGTTTAGGGTGCAGTTTCAGGAAACCAAGAATAAAATTTTGTGAAGTCGAATCGTTAGCATTAGTGGTGCTTAGTGATAATCATATTGGAAGGGCCGATAGTAGAAATAAAAATATTCAGCCAGTAATACGCAAAGTAGAACTTAGCACACACAAGTGCAGCAGGTCAAGTTGATATGCCACACTACCACAACGGTATATAGTTATCAAAACAAATCCTAGAGTAATAGAGGTAGTACCAGCGTCAGTACAAGTAGAAAAGACTATTAAGAATGTTGAGAAGTAACGGAGGGATTTGATAGTGGACACGAGGATTTCGAGTGCGGTTAGATGATGAGGGCAGTTGTAACTTTTCCTGAGGGACCTTAAGTAGCTGCTTTTGGTTTTAACAGTATCCAATCGACCTGACTGGTCTGGCAGGACCTAAAGAAATGTCTTCCATTCACTATAACTCGACTAAGACATCACGACAAACAATCCCGACCAAGGTAAACCAAAGATACTAAACCAGTGTTATTTGAGGTATAACTCCTAACATTCAATTAGTCTTCGCGTCAGAAAATGAAGGAAAACTTCAGCAAATATTAAGATTGCCACGTATATAAAATGAAAAGCCACTAACCTTTTAACGATGTCAGAATTGTACAACCTATTATTTTTAATTCTATTCAAACGACTGATACACGAGCTGTCATCAAAGCTTTTTGAACGGCGACAAGATTGAGAGTAAGATCCACTATTTTTTAATGATTTTATTGAAAAACCACCAGAATTATTAGATTTCGAAAAACTATATTCAGATTCGCATTTGTTAATCAGTTTTGCGCCTTCCGAATTTATCAGACGTTGTACATTTGGATCTATAGATAATATGTGGGTACATTCGCGTCCCAGTTTGTTATCACCATTGGGCATTAAGTCCAACAATCGGAGTCTAGATTTCGAAATTTCCGCTGAAATTTGTAATTCAAGTGGGATTTGATTAGGTCCATTGGGAACGAAACTAGAATTTGGACTACCTGGGGGGGCATTATTTGAAATAGTTTTTGAAGTTTTGCAGGTACAAATTTCATCCATATGAGAATTGACACATTCAGAGGTACGGTTGGAAACCTTTTTTGAATCAGAATAGGTGGAGTCTGATTTGGGGAGAGTAGCCATGTCTGAAGCTTTTAGAGGTGCGATTGCTGAGTCATTACAAAGTTGTTCCAACTCCGTAACAATTGACAGTTTATTTACGTAATTTGATATACCCATGTTTTGTCGACGCAAATACGCAGTAGCAGGGTCTGAAGCATATAGGGGAGTTGCAGAACTATCTGGAAATTCTATTTTATCACTCTGGATTCTGTTTTCTCTTTGCGATAAAGGGTCGACAGAGTTGAAATGTTCGTAATGCCCATTCACTGCACAGGTTGACTGATCCGTACATTCCAATTCCACGATATCTTGCGAATTGTTATCGCGATTTCCACAAGAATCGTAAACTGGCTCGGAACTGCGTATGTGAATAGCCGTGAAAGGAACTTGACTATGAACACGAAGACCATTATTCCAAAAAGAGAAAAGATTAGTTCCTGCAAACCCATTACTCAAAACCATTGATTGAGCGTCCAAATCATTCTCTAGGGCATCTACTTTCTCATGAGCGTGTCTGGAATGTGAGTCGACAGAAGCACCAGCATGTGCAGAGTCATGTGTGGCTCGTGGGAACATAGATGATTCTTTATCTTCTGTAAACAAATAATAAAACTGTTAACTGACTATTAGTGGAAAAGAAATTCAACCTGTTTCAGCAACACAGTGTCCTTGTGTCAGGAAGTAAATATATAACTCAGTAATCTTTACATTGCTAGCTAATCCAGCTAGACCTATTGATGTAAATTGTATATATGCATTTATTTACTGATTAATTTATATCAACTACTGCCTAGTTCAATATAATTAAATCTGACTAACGACCAGATATGTAATACAGTGTAATTATAATATAGTTTCGAATAAATGGTGGAAAGTGGTTGGATTAGTTGCGGACTTGAGGTTGGTGCATAAACAAATCTTCATCTAAAATCTTACTTTCTTCCTCGTGTCAAGCAACATTAGTCTTCGATCCCCGATACAGTAGCAAGTAAATAGTCAGATCCACACTTGTAATAATTAACAGTTTTTGGAAGTTACAAAACGTAGATGTAACAGTATTTTATCAAGACAATACGTCTCGAAACTTACTATGACAAAAAAGGGACTAGTAACAGATAAGCAGAATCCGAAGAGTTATTTATTCTCTTATCTGAAAATACCACTGTTTTAAAGCAAACAGAATACCACCTTGAAACTGTAAAGACGACTGAAGACTGTTTAAATGTAGTAGACTATGAATAATTGTTTTCTTTAATACTATAGTACAACCGAATTTTTAGCATACCACTGATCTAAACTCCTATAAGGGTCCATAAATAGTAAATTATGGTACAATTTTATTATTATATCAACAACTAGGATTTAACGGAACTGAATAATTAAAGATAGGCTTCAATCCGTGAATCGAATGGTTGGAAAGCAGTATCATGACCAACTACTACAATCTTTACTATCATCCAAATAAAGTGAATAACATATTTCTCAGTTTATTTCCTGTTTAACCGAAATTCGTTACACAGTGAACCTGAAGTCACATAGTTTACGATAAATATAGATGAACTTATTGTTGAAACGTCAGCTACCAACAGCGCGGAAATCAAAGGCAGTATTAGGCAAAAAAGCAAACTATGAGAAACCCAGTGACGATGGATAATATAGGGCAGTTGTTTGAAACTATGATTAAAAGCGATCAACTACTAATGCATTGACTGAGATCGATATCAAGCTTCCCCCAGCTCTTAGTGAAGTTGAGTACTAAAACTAAATTGAACTGAGGGTGTAACAGACTTCCTTAGGCCAGTTTTAACCCTGACTGATCACTGCCAGTGATCACCGTGAATTTGGGAAGGTGTTCCAACCCGTATACCACAACTTAAAAATGAAAATCCCAAAAGTACATCATCCGACGCAGTTTTCTCACACAACAACTCACTTGAGACTTTAAAGAGACCATGTGTCTAACCACAACTTTCCATAATACGAAAGACTTTCAAAGTTGTTGATACGAAAAGTGAAATGTGGCCATGTTAAAAACCATAGCTATGGTCGAAAGCTGGTATGTTTAATTTCCAGGATTTAATGCAAATTTAGGTATCACAGAGCTATACTTAGGAACCTACGCCGATTAGTGGTAGTCTTCTGTAACATTGATTAAATAACTATTTGTTCCTAGCCAAAAACAACTCAATATATGCAGAGATATCAGTAAACAACTATACTAATGCAAAAATAAACATATTTTCCACATTGCTAAGTAAGGTCTAATCCTTAAAATACCAAAAAGCTAGAAGAAATCAATGTAGAGTTTTCTAATTCACCTGAACGCCGGAATAATGTCTGCATGGCATTACATTTGTGAAAATCGTTAGGATTGAGCATAATTATTTCCAACACAGCCAGCCAGGGAATCATATCCGAGCCTCTTCAAAGAAATGATTCTCAGAAAATACTTCCTAAACCACTGTCTTGAACGAACTTGTTACTCATTCTTAACTTTAACAGGAATATATTTACAGAAACGCGAATAAAGTAATGCTAGTGAGTCCTAAAATACAATTCCTTTCTGATAAGTCTACTAATTCAAATGATGGTTGGCACATAATTTAACACGAAAATAACACGCATCCTAGCCCTAAAATCCCAAAAAATTCCAAGATAAAAGTAAAAAGATTGTCTCTAAGATCTTTACAGAAACCATTCAAATAATAATGTAAGAAATAATTTTACCAAAACTCACTAGTACCTTTTGGTATGAAACATGACAAACATTTGATTCTTTTGTTCGCCAAAGTCGTAACAGCTTTCTCGCATACAAACGACTTTTTTTGAAGCTCACTAACCCAGTCAGGGATGGCTTTTAGATGACAATCGTGTACAGAAAACCGACCATAGGACCACTGCTCTACGGTTTCATGTATCCGAGCCTTACGAAATCTCGAAGCCGGTTGCAGTGGCGGGAGTGACGCCGCAGCTATAGCAACAACGTCCGACGTCAAATGGTTGTTTGCAGACACAGTTGGTGCTGTGTTGCCTGATGTTGTTGATGGGTGTAGGTGGTGCAGACAAGTCAGTGGTTGATTGTAACTACCGTGTCTGGAATGAGGAGATAGACCAATATGATATGTAGGATGCAGTACATTTGTTAAATTTACCCAGTTTGAAGTATTTGGAGGATCCGAATAGTTATTACTGACCATATTACATAATGACTTGGAGTACGACACATCCGAATTAATTGGAAACCCGTGAGGGTCAGGTATTGTTCCCTGATCACGTAAGTGATGCGCGATGTTTAGGTTTTGCTTAGAAGACGGACAATAATCAACGTGAAGCGGAGATTCTGATGATGACACAATATTTGACATGATAGGGTTTGTCGAAACTGGGTCACATGGGTCACGAGAATATGTAGGATAAATGGATTCACTCTGGAAAAGTTGCAAGTATTCTGAATTTCTAGGATGTTCAAAAGTCGGAAATGCTATGGGAGATAAACAATGGTTTTGTTGGTAGCCGTCATGATATATAGATGTGAACTTTTTGCCAGAAACTTTATCAGCAGAATTATTTGGCTTGAAACGACCATTCAATGGCTTTACAAATGACTGAGAATTTGTGGATGGATGGAACTAAAAAGTAAAAAAATATATTGTCTAAGTTTGTTAACAACGGCTATTATCCTTAAAATTAATATCTGGTTTGGAGCCAATCTCATGGGTCATGACCCAACTCCATGTCTTGAAACAAAAAGGTATATATATACATATATATATATATGAACTAGTTGTTGTTCAGGCGTAGTGAAGCTTAACTTCAAAAAAATTGGTCAGATGATGTTAGACTAGACTCATTTCTTGAGATTCCACCAAATCAGATATTTAAAGGACAAAACAACCATGAAATTTTAGGTACGACGGCAAGTTTTTAAAATGGTGGGATGCGGAAACATTGAAATACCTTTATGAATAATTGACATTCCCAGGTGCCTTACAGTTGAAGACACATTATAGGAAATATTGTCTAAGAACTGCATGTGATTTTTCACGGAATTCAACTATTGCAGGGGAGGTCAATACTACAAACCAAGAAGAGAGTAAGTAATGCAGTTGTTAGGAAACGGGTACTAGGTAAGGATGGCAAATCGATTGTTGTTAGTCACCGGCTACCATGGGACTGCATCTCTGAACGTCACTTCACTGCCTTGTGGATTAGACCTTCAGGTCGAAGGTTCGGTGTGTGGCCCACTAAGAAAACCACCTGGGCACCCGGGCAGTATCACAGCACACACACAAATCGCTTGATTTGTGTGGCGCATATCAATTCGGTGCCCGTCTGTACCAATATTTATGTTCAAATAAAAAATAAAATCACTTACACCACACAAAATAGATTTAATCTGATACATTAAAAGCTCACATGAGCAGCAAAATAAAAAACCAGAACTTGTATGTTTAGTTTTTCACACATGGCAGGTCCAGCTTCTAGATCAATCGACGAGAATCAACTTACTCGTTTATCCTCTAGTAACTTAATCAGTGACACTAGTATTGTAGATTAGCTTTAAAAACGTAGAGTCAGACATCAACACAAGACAGGAAAATTTTTTGCCAGAAATCTCAATTACATTATCAAAAACAATATTATACAAGAACTTAAGGCGCCTCTAATCAATATAGCTATTTGAGAATTAAACTGTTAAAGAAAAATACTGTGGGCAAGAGATTTAGCTAGGTACACTTACCTGACAGATGTCCACACCGTTTGATGGCATAACTGGGACTGGAATTACTGAACAAGAGCGAACATTGAAACAGTTTTGAGGAAGTGTACTTGCATCTCTTATCCCATTTCCGTTATCGTTCATTTCAACACCATCCTCTGGGTCATCAAAGTCTTCAAACTCCTCAGCTTCGATGGATCCGGATCCATAAACATCATGAATAGCATTATCACACATAGTATTCTGATGCATTAAAACACCATCTACTTGACTGAAGTTTGAGAAAGGCGAAATTTCACTAGTTTCCGCGCCATTCCTTTCATACACATTGCTATCTACACTTGCTGCCTGTTGCTTAGTCCTTTTGACTTTTGATAAGTGTTTTACGCTAAGCAGCATAAAACCTGAACCCGTTTCTTTTGATGAGCAGTTATCTGATGAGACAAATAATATTACTGGATAACAGAACTTACGAGATGGACTATGAACATTACGTATTCCATTAGAAATATTTGGCTTTAGAGGGTCCTTTGAGTCACACTTACTGACTTTTTCTTCCAAATCGCTCATGGATTGGGACTTTCAGGTAAGTAGGACTGGATCAGTGAAACAGACCTTAGCTAATGAGTGCTTCGGTCAGTTTTGACTGATACTGAAAAGTGTATGCTTTGTGGTAAATAACTTTTCAACAAAGAATGGATCTGAAACATATTTCCCTTAAAATAATTGACAAAACTACTGACACTGAACATGAAGCAGCCAAACCGCCCGCCACTTCAATTTTGATTGTTGTACTCGAGTCTCATCATCCGTTGTACATTAAAAGAATTTTCGGAGATATCAAAAGTACTATCACATAGGTGATTCTTGAAGAATACATAATTTTCTCTCGTGTTTCTTCAAGCTTTACTTATGATTTGTTTCCGACAGTATTCATCTTTACAATGGTTTGGGACACATTACTGTAAAGACACAGTTGCTTTATAATGACTTAGTATAAACCATATGACTTGGTTTTGGGTGATAGTTCCAAGTTTTCTGTCTCTAGTAAAGTTCGTCTAGCTAATCTTCTGAAGTAGTTCGTGATGGACAATTTGGTGTTTGGTTTTCTCAATTTTCTCATTTCATTCATTCTGCTTAGTCTGCGCATGAATAAAGAGAAGAGGGTAGAAAGTAACCCTGAATAACGCATTGGAGTAAAATGAAGACTAAAATTTTACTTTGTTCTTTGCTTCCATATATCTTTTTAGGGCTTGTAAGGAAGCACATATATGGTAATGTAGTTTTAAAAAAGTTGAAAAGGTCGTTGAAAACATTTACTTAGGGGATGATGATTAAGTTGGCTAGGATACCTTCTTATGAAAAACAGGTGAGTGGGAAATAATTTGAATGTCTCCTCTACTGACTTTCGATCATCAAAAAATATCCTAGTAGGTCCCCGTGATTGTACTCTGGCAAGTCCAGCTTACTAGGATAGGTTGGGAAACTTATTATTTCCTGGCTCATCATAGCGCAGTCCTCTTTATTCTTGTGCCTAGACATGTTCACACCCAACACTCTAACCTTATTATACGTTTCGTCACGACGAAGCAAATTCCGCAACTGAATAGAAATTTATCTATCAGAATTGCAAATCTGCCAGAGTATTGTCCTTCATAATAATACTCGAAAACATTAAATATGAACCTTCAGTAATGAGATTTCTCAGAGTCTGAGAGAATTGCCAGGGAGAGAATTGCCAGGCAATACTGAGACTAAAACATTCAGGTCAAAATCACAAACAGATCAACTTCAAAACTTATGTGGAAGAAATATTTAGCAAATCAGTTAAGAGGTCGGACTATCAATCCTCGTTTCAAACACGTAAAATACTTCAAACATTCTTCATCCAAATAGCCTTTGATTCTTTTCAGCACTGGTACAAAAAGAACCATCATCACAGGTAATGAAGCACCGATAATAAGGAAACAATTCCAAAAGAGTGAATCTCGCGGCCTAAATAAACAAACTCAAGGCTTTATTTGAATTCTTGACGTCTAGGATATATATCAGTAAGCCTAGGGGTCGGCCTATTTGCACACCATCTATTGCTTTGAGACGACAGATTTTTAGTGTCTCTTTGTAATATACTGTTCTGTATCCTCAACTCTACCTATCTTACTAGCTCAAGTTTGTTATGTTCATCTCTCTGCACTAGACCTGTAAGCTACTTATTCATCACTGAGGAATGAGAATGTGTCATCACTAAATCACTTCTCATGCGCCTTTACAACTTAGATCATTTGGATCTGTGTTCTCAAAAGATGCACATTCTTTAGAAATACGCTTGAAGAATACTCCACACAAGTAGTATGCCTATCCCTACTTCTTATATCACCTTTGATGTTTGTTGCGTTCGCCCTCGCAAACAACAACTTGTTCAGTAAATAAATAATATATTTCTAATATCCCGAAGAGTAAACAAATAAGATTTTCTGACGTTTCGTGATACTAGAGATTTCATTTATCCCGTGATTAAATGCAGTACCAGTAGTTCTCAGTCAAGTAATGATGAATTTTCGGCGATCCTCAACATGCACCGTTGGTCACAGTGGGGTCGTACCCCAACAACGGGTGATAATATACTTGATCTAGCATTTAGTAGAGATGTCATCCCACTATCCGTGCAAGTATACAATGATTTTGAAAGCAGTCACCACAAGATAGTAGTTTGAGCTCTTCCCACCTATCCCTCTTATAACCAACCCATTCGAAAAACTTTCCAATATAGAGACTAAAAGCATGCTGACTGGGATCTCTTGCGCTCACTGATTATACTCTCAGACTGTGATGAATTTTTCTCATGTAATAGTCCTATGTATGCTATCGATAAACTCTATTTGATCGTTAAATTGTAGATGGCGTCGAGTCTTCAAGAACTATGACCATCACTATAATGGGATTACGCGCACACAAACGACTTGGTTCCCTCGATAACTCGCAAACAAGAAGACTGTAATTAGTCCAGATAAAGTATATTTATTGGCGATCTCGTGGTATCGAAAGAATACCGAGACGTGCCAACGAGTACAGGCAATAAGGGCAGAGCGTAAGAAAGTTCGAACCAAACAAGGAGGAAGGCAGAACGAAAAGTGACTTTGATACAGTTAATAATGATAACAATATATTTCTGCAAGGGCAGGTACACGCCATTTTTTCAGGCATGATCTACAATTTACAACATATACTGGTTCACAGTATGCATCCCAAGTATGGTTGTTTAGCAAATATAATCTATAAAAGTCGATAGCAGTTCATTCGTTCAGATCCAAAGTGTTTTCTTCAAAATACTTTCCAAAGGTGCATCGCGTCCACGTTACACACCAGATCCAATCTTGGCAAAATTGTGTTAGGATTTTGGTCGTGCTAAGTGTTTATGCAATGCAAATTTTAAGTTTATAGTTCTTATGAAGTAGAGCACCTGGTGCTAATTATGACCTTGAAGAAGCGCATTCGTCGAGCTTGTTCCAGATGTCAGAAGTTACACAGCTTCACACTCAGAGCAAGATTCTGAAGAGGGAAAATAAAAGCAGAAAGAAACCGAAAAGCAGCAAGGCATTTGGATATGAACGATAAACAATGCTTAACATTTAGTGGTGGAACAGACGGAGATATGATAAATTATTAGATCAAATTGATACTAGCTCATGTTGTTAGAGTGAAATGTGATCAGAGGCTCCAGATGAGAGAATGCAGTAATAAGCAACAATGAGTTGTGATATTTATCAAGTTGGAGTAGGTTCGAATGAAGGGAGAGAAGTCAACATTGGAATGAGGAAGACTGTTTATTAGATCAGAGAGTGCATGTAGAGAGTAAAGTGTTAGGTAAAATAGCAACCATATCCTTTACAGTCTGTTTTTTCATCATCCGATGCCTGCCACACAGTTTTCATGTAAAAGTCCGAGTTAGCATGTCATAGGTTGTCCTAGTAGAATAGTTAATCCAGCATAGAAATTAGAAACATGAGTCTGAATGGTGACTGTAGGAGAACAACCTCAATATCACAGATTGATTGACTTGTTCCCATCCATAGAGAGCCTGATACAGACAAAATGTTCTGCCCCACAAACACGGGTGGACAGAAGTCATCTCCCTCATTATCAATGCTTGCTGGTCAATAACTCCACCCTCCCTCCTTTTGTGATGTTAGGCACATTTAAGCTTTTTGGATATATATCATACGTTCAATAATGCTCTGTGTTTCACATCCTGTTGGGAAACACTATTTCTGTAAGTGCCATTTTACAAGCTTTTCAGACAGTTACAAATTATGAACTGTGGGTAAGGCTTCGGTGCAATGTCTTAATTGACTATATTAAGGAGTATAGGTTGCCAACCAGAGTATAGCCATTAAGAAGGGTATAATGTATGATAGTTGCTTAACAAAGTAGGCGGAAAAGTGTAGATTTATATTAGTTACAGATAAGGTAAGATAACGAGTGGTGAAATAACATTAATGGCAAGGCAATATAGTGTACAGAAGAATAAAAAGCTGATAAAGAATAGACAAGAAGGAACTCACACTGAATTCGTACTGATGTTTTTTTGTCCTATCCTAACCTAACATGTTCTATGGATGTACGACCACTGGTAGTAGGCAGTCGATTGTGCTTTTCTTTGGACGTTTTAGGGTACTTGTAAGCGTCGTTTAGCGACCGAGTATTGATAGGTCCAGTGAGTTGCGAACTCGTGGTATCGAAAGAATACCGAGACGCGCTAAAGATTACAGGTAATAAGGGCAGAGTGTGAGAAAGTTCGAACCAAACAAGGCGGACGAAAAGTGACTTTGATACAGTTAAACTAGTACAGTAAAACAATCGTTGGTACGATTGGTTACAATGATGATTGTTTTTATTATACCAATCGCGTTCTTGTCGGAAAAAAGCAGGTCATTGCAAACTCTTGCCTAGATTCTTGAGCAACAAATAAAACGTACAGGTTTAATGAACCTTACGGATTATATACCAGCTAAATATTATAATAAACTAAGACACCTACAGAAACGTTATTTGAAGTTAAACGACTTCAGGGCACTTGCACAAATAGCAATAATTTTTGACAAAATTAAAAAGAAACGCAGGTTAAAGGCCATACCATGCTACAAATCTGGAGATAAGACTGACATGAACAACTATCGGCCGATAAATATTACTCTAGTTATCTCTAGAACTATGGGAAAGATTATTAGTGACTAACTCCCCAACTATTTACTCACTGGAAAATTTATCAATGATACGCAACATGGATTTCTTAAAAATCGATCTTGTATGACATGTCACTTTGACTTCTTTAATTTAGTCCATTCTCTATGTAGTCAAGGATATCTAGTATTAGTGCTATACCTGAACATTTCTAAAACCTTCGACATGATCAACCACCAACTCCTCACAGGCAGACTTGCATCTTACTGGGTTTCAAACCCTTTGCTTGATTGGTTCAATTCCTTCCTCAACAACGGACGTCAAATAGTTAAAATAGTGTATTCATTTCCTCCACATGAGCTGAACGATTACATCATTATCAAAGAATACTACCGGATTATATCTCCTTCATTTTGTTGATGCCATCACGTATAGAGAAACCATTGTTAATCAAGTGAACTCATTTGTGGTTGTTATCTCAGAGAGCAGCTTACAAGTAACATTCACTTCATAGCAAATGTGACCATTTTGTTGTTTAATACACAGTTTTGTAGTTTAATTTAATTTTTTACCTTTTGCTTTACTCTTAGACCTACTCTTAGATTTGTAG